TCAGAAAATTTCTGAAGAAGGGTCTAGGCCCGAAACGTCAGCCTTCCTGCTCCTATGATGCTGCTTGGCCTGTTGTGTTCATCCAGCTCTACACCTTGTTATCCCTATATTTAAGCAAGGCTGATTGACTACACAGAAGAGCTGAGGTGTGTCGTGAAAAAAAGAACATGCTATTAGTGAACGTGATCTGAGTTTTTCTTTTCTCTTGAAGTTTACTAGTGTAATACTTGTACTTACACTAATGCAGGTTAGTGTGGATCACCATACAAAAATTATATTTCTTCCTACATTATTCTTATTATAAACCAGTTACTATTGCAACAAGCTTAACCTAGCCACACTAATTTTTAATGTATTGGCAAATAAATCAGGAAATAACTTAAAAATCATGCGCATCTAAATTGATAGCATTATGAAATAATTAAAATGCTTACCCCATTGCTCTTCTGTATCCACTAATCTCAAAAACTACTATATACAAAATTGTGACGATAAGGAGTAGGATTATTTTTGGTAATGAAGATATGCGCAGGAATACTGCAAGACTTAGTGTTCCAACAACACAAGCAAGAAAAGCGTAATGGGCTGCATCACAAGGCAATTCCGTCATTGTTTTATTGAGCCCATCAGGGGCAACAATAACAATGGAACTGCTGGAGTTGGTAGTCCATAGCCAAGGCATGCAGCCAACCTGTGTAAACAAAAAAAAAACAAGGATTTACATTCTTTTCTTTAAAAGAAAAATCCTTAGAGAATTATTCTACAAGTTGATGATAAAAAATGGCCATGACTACTTTGGAATAAACCAACTGAATACTTTTGTACTTCAGAAGACAACTGCTTCTTAATTACATTGCTTGAACCTAGTTTTCTTGCATTCCATTATTCATACAGAAGGGTTGGTTAGCTCAGCTAACTAGACAGCTGGTTTGCAATGCAGAACAAAATAGTTCAATTCCCATCCTGGGTTACCATGAAGGCCCCACCTTCTCAACCTCACCTCTAGTCTGAGGTGTAGTGACTCTTGGATTAAACCACCACCGATCGTCTCTCTCCAATGAAAAGAGTAACTTAACCCCGTAATGATTGATATTTTGAATAAAATAAAAACTTCCTGAAATTTTCCCATTTATATCATAAAGGAATAAAGCATAAAGGTGAACAATTTAAAATTCGACTATCAGTGGATTTGAATGACCTCGCAAGAAGTCATTGCAACTGGACATGAAGAAAACAAGTGGTTGTTTTTACTACAAGAGGTCAAGACATTGAGAGAGCCCATATACATACAAATGGCCTCCTTTTGAACTGTAAATATTTTAAGACTCTATAAGTTAGTGAATTATAAAACTGTGGTTTAGATAGGTGCTCCTGCATTTGAGCTGGCAAATTAGGTTAAGGAATATATCAATATAGAGATGTAAAGGCAGATATTTAAGGGGATATTTCAGAATACAAAGATTAGATACATTCCAACAGGAGAGGAAAATTCTGGGTTTGGGGGGTTGGGGGTGGGAGACCCACCATCTGTGGTTAACTAAAAAGGCTGAAGATTGTATCAAACTTAAAAAAAAGGCATATTATTGCACAACATTGCATATAAGGTCAGAAGACTGGACAGTATATAAGAGACAAAAAAGATTAGCTAAAGATTAATAGGAAGAAGTAAATTAGAATCTAACAGGAAGCTAGCTAGAAATATAAAAAATTAGAAAGTAAGAGTTTCTGTAGGTATTTAAAAAACAAAAGAATTAATAAACTGAATGTGTCTGGTGAATTCATTATGTAAAAATAAAGCGATGGCAGATGAATTAAGCAGATATTTTACGTCAGTCTTCACTGTACAGGATACAAGGAACATCACAGAAATAGCTGTAAATCAGGAAATGGAAGAGAGAGCAGAACTCAACAGTACTTCAATCATCAAGAAAGTGCTCCGAGCAAATAGTTGGAAATGTGGGTGAACAACTCCTCAGATCCTGATGGATTCATCTTAGAATCTTAAAAGAAGAAACTAGTGAAAGAATTTATGCATTGGTTTGAAGTTTCCAAAATTCCCTAGAAGGTTTCACTAGAATAGAAAACAGTGAGTATAACTCCTTTATTCAAAAATAGAGGGAGACAAAAAGCAAGAAGCTGCAGGCTGTTTAGTTTAAGAATCATCAGAGAGAAGATGTTATAAGATATTATTAAAGACAATTTGGCACAGCACTAAGTTAAAGGTAATTAAGCAGAATTAACATGGTTTTATGAAAGAAAACCATTTATAATATGTTCACTGGAGTTCTTAAGTTGGAGATACTGTATATAGATTGCCAAAAGGCATTTGAAAAGGCATGACAACAAAGTTTATTGTGCAATATAAAGGCTCCTGGTGTGTGTGTAACATATTGGCATGAACAAAAGAATGGCTAGAAAACAGAAAACAGAGAGTAGTAATGAATGAACCATGTTCTGACAGTCAGATGTAATGAGTGGTGTGCCACATGTATCAGTGTACAATTTATATAAATGACTCACATTAAGCAATAAAAGGAATGGTTGCTAAATTTGCTGATGATACAAAAATAGGCAGTAAAATAAGTTTTGAAAAGGACATATGAGAGCTGCAAAGGGATATAGATAGTTTAAAGTAAGTGGACAAAGATTGGGAAATGCAGTACAATGTGAGCAAAATGTGAAATTTCCTATTTTGGCAGTAAGAATAAAACATATACTATCCAAATAGTGAGTGACTACAGAGGTCTCAGATACAGAGGATCTAGATGCCCTAATACATGATTCACAAAAGGTTCTTAATGACAGCAAGTTATTAGGAAACCTAGTGGAATGTCATTGGTTATTGTGCAGCTCATTGATTAAAAGTGTAGTGAGGTTATGCTTCAGTTATACAGGGCAATGGCGAGGTCACACTAGAATTACTGTGTACACTTATTTAAGAATGGATGTAAATGTGTTAAAAGCAGTTCCAAGAAGGATTGCTAGACTAAACATGGAATGGATAGGTTATTTTATAGAGGAAAGGCTGGACAGGCTTAGCTTATAGCTGATGGAGCTTTGAAGGTTAAGAGGCAACTTGGCTGACACATATAAAATCCAGAGGGGTCTTGGCATGATGGATGTAGAAATTATGTTTCCTCTTGCAGCATAATTGAGAACCAGAGATCGCTGTTTAAAAACAAGGGGTTATCCATTTAAGACAGAGATTAGGAGAACTCTTTTTCTGAGAGGATGGTGAATCTTCTGAATGTCATTCTTTAAAATACATTATAAGCAAATTCTTTGAATATTTTTATGGGCTGAAGTAGACAGGTTTTTGATAAGCAAGAGAGTGAAAGTGTTTCAGTAGTAGGTGGCAATGTGGAGTAATCAGGTTAGCCATTCGTTTATGGAATGGTGGAGCAGGCTATTCCTGCTTTAATCCTATGCTTGTAGAAAAATCTCCAGAATAAGAAAATATTAACAACTTTTTAAATACTTTATCTTATCGTTTCGAAGTGCTTCACAAAATGAACAATTTTTTGAAATTTAGCAACTATCATTATGTGAGGCAACTGCAGCAACTTTGTCCCCGCAATGTTCCACAAATGTGTCTGACATAGAAGACAAGCTCATCTGGTTGTTTTCTTTATTGGTTAAGCAAGAAAAGTTGGACAGGACACTTTTTTTCAAATATTGCGCATCTTCAAATATTACCTTGACATTTGAAGGGATCAGTGCCTTAATTTACTGTCTTATCCAAACGACACTGCTCCTCCAGTGCTATAGCAATTCTTAGCCCGCAATCTTACTCCCCCTATGTGTCCTACAAAGCTTAAACATTGAGAAATCTCCAAATGGAAGTTCTCCGATAAATAATAAATAAACATTGCAATCACATATAAACATCAAAAAGGACAATCGTTGGACATGAAAGTTAATGGTATTTTTGCACAGTTTTAACTTAAAGTCTAATTAATGATGCAGCATATAAAGTTCAGAGTGCTGTATATCACTCCAACCTATCCGGATTTTGCTGATTTTGTTAACCTTGAGCAGCGATGGCAGAAGTAATTCTGAGATGCTGACTTACAGGTTCTCCTGGATGATATCATCCTGTGGTTTCAAAGGGAAGAGGCCACAAATGCAATCACCAGAGTCAGTAAGCCTCTTGGTGCATCACCACAATTCTGCCAGTGAGAGATGGGACCCCAATATTCTGCAGCTACGGACTGGCCATTGTATCTTAATTCTGCTTGCATGACTTAACCTGGAGAATTTCATGTCATTGGCCATTCTTCCAGGATGAACTTTGGGTGTCAGTACTCTTTGCAAATATTTAAATGTTTGTAACATTTATTACACTGGAACCTGATTCTGTCATCAGATGACATCCATACAGGGGGGCAAGTTCCACTCTTCTCCTCATGTCCTGACCAATATTCCTCTCTCACCCCCTCAAGATTCCCAGTAATAATACTGAGTGGAAAATAAGACAGGAATTCTTCAAAATTTTCATTTTTGATCTGGGAGCACAAAACGTAAAGGTACCACTCCCCCAGTTTCAGATCCACAAACTTAATTCTGACTAGGAATTAACATTACTTCCTTTTGGTCTATCTGATCCTCTTGCACAAGGAGGAGGAAGACCTATCTGTGGATGCTGAAGTTCCAACTTTAACACAGTTAATTTTTATAAATCTAAGTATATCCATGCTGGAAACCGCCAAGCCAGAGACCTCAAAAGTAAAGTGGCTTAGATTTCAGAACAGGATTTGCATTAATTGCCAAAAGCAAATCCCAACTCTGTTCATGCCATTTTCACTGCAAAAATGCATTTGAAATAATCAAAATAATCTGACATTTGCTTACCACACATCCTTGGGCCACCGAATAGGTTAAGACAACTATGAAGACGCAGATAATAGTTCTAATTTGTATTGTCAGGCACCCTGGAAAACACTAAAAACGTAATTATATTTCACCAAGTTATACTTGTAATAGAATTCAAATATAATTTTTCTACTTTGGTGATTTGGTTATCACACTTTTTTTGTCATAAGTGCAATTTTTCTGTATATTTTAGGAACAAATTATAAAAAAGCTGTAATCCATGATCATTCAGTCCTAGCAGAGTCCAGGGAGTACCAGGTAGTACAAAAAATAGAGTCTCAAACATAATCGTTATGATTCGATACCCACACTCTTTGCAAATGTAATTGATTCCCTTTAGAGAACGCAATATCACATAATCACTCTTTAAGGCAAAGGAAGCTAAATATTTCATCTTGCAGAGAAGCTCCAAGACTCCTTCCCCCGCTGTTGACAGATTTCTGAACAGACCTCTTATATATTTGAGTTGATCTTTCTCTGTAGCTGTAATACTATATTCTGCATTCTGTTCTATTATCCTGATGTACTTTTGTAAGGTATGATTTGTCTGGTTAGCATGTATAACAATACTTTTTATTGTATCTCTGTACATGTGACAATAATATATCAAATTAAATCAAGCCTCTACACTAAAATGTCCACTGTATTTTACCCCTGAAATTAAACAATATCAATAAGAAATCAGCCTCTAATTAATCTTGGGATGTTACAGACATGAGGAGCAGGTCAGTTACACATACTGTTATCACTTCATAGCAGAATAGTACATTGCACAATATTACATTGCATAGTACCTGGTATAATCTTCATTTTTTTTCCAAAAGAAAGGCAGTATATGCTCTGTCTCACTATGACCAACATGCAATAGCTCCATTACTGTATATTAATAGGGCAGATTTCTAACAAAGCCAATAAATGTATTGTCCTGACAGGCAAACCTGTGCTGAAACAATGCACTGGATTCAATACAACAAATAAATAAGTAACTTAGTCCTAACTGCACAAATAAATCTTGACCAATTAAACTTGTGGTGGAGGAATGGAAATTTTGGGACAGCTGCTGCTAAAGGGCTCTTTCACTTAATCAGGCAGTATACAGTTTTTGATGGAGGATGATTAATTGATAAAGAATATCAGTTAGTAGCTGCAGGAGCTGTTATTTACATAGACTACATGAGGTAACACTTGGGAAGTGATTGAGGCATTGGGGTTCTTCCTAATACAACATCTTTGAGGCAGGCATGACTTAGAAACAGGAATGACAGCAATGTGTGTTCACACAGGACTGATAAAATGTCCCAAGGTGCTTCACAGAAGCTTATAAAACAAAATATGACTGATTTATGAAAAGAGATGTTATGGTGGATAACCAAAATGTGGTCAAAGAGGTAAGTTTTAAGGAATATGTTGACAAAAGAGATGGAGAGGCTTGGGAAGGCAATTCCAGAGCTCAGGTCTTTGATAGAAGTCCAATAAAAATCTGCTTTTCTTTTTTAAGTTTAAACTTGGAGCACATTCATTGTTCCATCTACCCCAATTAGACAAACCATTATTCTTCTGTCAATCTCAGTGATTTTCCTTCTTCATTCCATCCAACTTACGTAAACATTTTCTCCCATCAATCACAATTCCAAGTGAAGTTAACACACTTAAATGAACTTCTCTGCCATTTCATGTGAGTCATGCAGACTTGTCAAAGATGATTGTGTCAACAGGATTCTTCAGATGCCTGTGGTATTTAGTATAGTAAACGACTGGCTGTACAATCTCATGGTGCTTGACTTTGCATCACATTTAGAGCAAAGAATTAACATGTCAATCTCAATGTTCAAACAGCGAAATCACACTTACATCCCAACTCCATCAATATATCATACAGCATACAACAGTACAGCAGGGGAACAAGCCTTTCAGCCCACCATGTCTTCACAGACCACGATGCTATTTTAATCCAACCTCAACTGTCTGTACATGGTCCATATCGTTCTATTCCCAGCCCGTTCTATTTCGTTTGTCTGTCTAAATGCCTCTTAAACATTGCTATCATATCTGCTTCTAACAACTCTCTCAGCAGTGTGTTCCAGGCACCTACCATGCTCTGTGTAACAAACTTACCTCACACATCTCCTTTAAAATTTCCCCCCCTCACTGCAACAATTTTATATTTGGGAAAAAGATTTCAATTACAAACTCTAATCATGCCTCACATAATCTTATATACTTCTATCAGGTCACCCCTCAGCCTTCAAAACTCCAGTGAAAACAATCCAAGTTGTCCAACCTCTCCTTATAGCTAATACTTTCTAATTCAGGCGACATCCTGGTAAAGCTCTTTTGCATCCTCTCCAAAGCCTCCACATTCTTCCTATAGTGTGGTGACCAGAACAGCACACAATGCTCCATATGTGGCCTAACTAAAGTCTTATAGAGCTAACTTTTATACTCAATGCCCAGACCAATGAAGGCAAGCATGCCACATGCCTTCTTTACCACCGTATCCACTTGTGGTGCCACTATCAGGGAACTATGGACTTGTACCAAAGACCCCTCTGTATATCAATACTCCTAAAGGTCAAGGTGTTTATTGTATACTTTCCTCTTACATTTGATCTCCCAAAATGCATAAACTCACATTAAATCTTATCTGCTAATTCTCTTTTTAACTTTCCAACTGAGCTATTTCCTGCTGTATACCTTGAAAACTTTCCTCACTATTTTCAACTCCACCAATTTTCATGTCATCTGCAAACTTACTAATCAGACCATCTACATTTTCATCCCAATCCTTTTATATTCTTCTGTACCTTTTCCCTTAAGTATCTGTCTAAAATTACTCTAATTTGATGTATGCTAATCACCTCAAATAAGGCACATGATAGCAAATTCTACACTCCAACTACTGGCATATTGCAAATTGAATGTCATTACAAATAAAATGTCAGAAACAAATTAAGACTCCGCATTTTCATTATTCAACAAGTATAATTCTTAAGGTTAGAAGAGGGATGAGGCATCGACCTGAGAATCAGCCATGTCAGAAGTGAGCTGTGGAACACTTGAGCGATTTTGGGTCTCATTTGAATGCAGTAAGAAAGATGTGGTTGCCAAATTGTTGCCCTGCAGTAGATCAATTGTGGAAGGATGTGGTGCAGGTTTGGAGGTGTGGGAGAAACCAATCCCAATTGAGGTTATGGACAGGCCTTTAGTGATCGCAGTATTTGTGTGGAGTTAGAAGATGCAGTTATATTCCCACTAGCCTCAAAAAAGCATACCGATAACATTTTTTAGCTTTTCTTACGTTTCACCAGCATTGTATTTGAACAGTAATGGTTCGGGCACACTCGTCCACTGCATTAGTACAATAGATACAATATGTATAATAAAATCACTTGTATCTAAAGAATGCAAAAATGTCTACTAATGTAGACTTCAATCAGCAAAGTTAAATAATCTCCTGCACTTAACACAATATGGACATTGGTCATTTTCTGTGCTGTATGACTTATCAAAAGGAAGCAACAATTCTATTGGGAATGGAAAATTTTGTCATTTTGTCACCATTCAGTCCAACTTGTCCATGCTGACCAAGTTTCTCAACCAATTTGTCCATGCTGGCCAAGTTTCTCAAACTGAAATAATCCCACTCGTCTGTGTTTTGGTCCTTATCCCTCCAAACCTTTCCTATTCATGCACCTGTCCAAATGCCTTTTAAATGCTGTGACTGTAACTTCATCCACCACTTTCTCTGGAAGTTCATTCCACACACAAACCACCCTCTGTGTGAAAAAGTTACCCTTAGGTTCCTTTTAAATGTTTCTCCTTAAAAATATGCCCCCTAGTTTTGAGCTTCCCCACCCTAGGGAAAAGACCTTTGCTATGCTGGTTATGATTTTAGAAAGCTATATAAGGTCACCTCTCAACCTTCCATGCTCCAGTGAAAATGTCCCAGCCTATCCAGTCTCGTCATATAACTCAAACGCTTCAGTCCCGGCAGCATCCTGGGGTAAATCTTTTCTGACCCTTCTCCAATTTAATAATATCCTTCTTACTGTCGGGTGACCAGACTGTACACAATACTCCAAAATGGCCTCACCAATGTCCTGTACAACCTCAACATGACATCTCAACTCCTATACTCAACAGTTTGAGCAATGAAGGTAAGCGTGCTAAATGTCTTCTTAACCACCCTGTCTACCTGCGATGCAATTTTCAAAGAATGATGTACCCAAACTCTCTGTTCAAGAACATTACTCAGGGCCGTACCATTAACTGTATAAGTCCTGGCCTTGCTTGTTTTACCAAATGCAATACCTTACATTTATCCAAGTTAAACTCCACCTGCTTTTCCACAGCCCACTGGCCTTACTGATCAAGATCCTTTAGTAATCTTACATAACCTTATTCCAAAGACTAATTAAAGTAAGTAAATTTGAAAACCAAATCAGGATTCAACAGAACTTTTGACCTACAGTGTATGCAGTTCGAAAACTGTTGGCATTGTTTCCCTCAACAGAAAGGATTCTCAATTCAATTGCAAGAGTATCCCAAACTCTTCCCAATTTGAAGTACTCTCTTCTTAAGTTATGAAGAAAAATTGTGCATTAATTTGGAAGCTCATACCAGAAAATATGTTACATGGATCATTTAATACTCAAGATTTGTAAAATTAAACCTCGTTTACCTGCACTCGAGTGACATGGAGATACATAATACAAGCAACCAGGAAACAAATGCAGAATACCAAGAGGACGAGGACCACCGTGCTCCTAAATGAAAAAATAGGAAACAAGTTCATACTTTTGAATAAACAGCAGCCAGTTGGGTTTGAAAGGGCAGTTATATTAAAGTATAGAGCATATTACTTACTGTGGTATTATGAGAAGATACAGAAGGCCAAATAAGGCGGCAAGTATTAATGAGAGGATGACTGCACTGGTAAAATATTCATCATGAAGTTGATGATACTGTGGGCATAAGAACGAAAGAAAATCTTCATTGTGAACTATAAAGAAATCACTATGCACCCACCATAGTGTATTTAGGGGTTAGACAAATAAAACTAGCAAAATGCTTATTAGAGATTGGATGTATTTAATCAAAAATGATTTCAAAATAAGACACAAGTATAGTTTTCCTTTTGACTGAGATCATGATTAATGTTGATATATTGGTTTAGATTTTGTAATCAATGGCAAATGAATGTTTGTCATCCTACTGTATTTTCATTTGCCCAATGACCTTCTTTTATTCTATAATTTCTAGTCACGAAAGAACTGAAACAGCAGGGGTCATCTACTGGAATCTGTGTGAGAAGAGTAAGCAACAGAGTATCCCATTTGAAGGCTCCTTAGTGAATCATGAATGCAGACCATAAAATGTGCACTTATATCACCAATGCCATGGGAACTAAGAGTGCCATTCTGGTACCAAAATGAAACATGTGCCATGTGTATCCACTTTCACTGCAGTCAGCATATTTGCCAGGGGTATTAATACAGGTGTTTGGAGTATATGCTGGAAATATACAAAGGTGTTCCATCAAGGTATCACGATTCGATACCAGTTTTACCATTTCAAACTCACCGCTTCATCTCCAGCTTTAATCTCACATTGATGAACATGTGTTCTGCAGTAAAATGAACCACATCAGTCACTTTCATCAGAACTCTGACTCACACAGGGAAGGGGAGAAGAATCTCAGCAGGAAGCCTTATCCACCTGGGCTCTTCTTTAAGCATTTAGCTAGGTCAGCAGCAGTGTCTCTCACCTTCTCTCCATGGAGAAGATGCTCAAAGAACACTGTCAATTTTTGCAACGAGACCTTCAACTTCAGAACAAGATGAAGATGACAATGCTAGTGGCTGTGAAGATAATTGTGTTGTTTTATATTGAAATCATTCCTTCCTAAAGTCAGGAACATTTGTAATATCCCCCAGGTCACCATCTATTGCTGCATCAGAGAGATGACAGACACTCTTTATGCGAGGTGAGAGGTCTTGTTTTCTCTCCGAACAGCGTGCATACAGCTTTGCCAGGATTACAACATGAGGTAACTACAAGTTACTACATCAGGCTGGTGAATGCCTGCTATCTTGGCAGCAATCCTGTTGTTCAAATTCTGTGTCAGTCTGCCATTCCCGCAAACTTTCAGCTCCCACCTTAAACAAGTGGGCGGCTGCTGGGCAACAAGGGCAGTCAGTTTTGCCCCTGCCTCAAGACTCAGGATCTCATGAGCAAACCATAAATGTCCAGCAAGTGTACAATGAGAGCTCTGAGGCCAGAAGCCAGATCATTGAGCAGATCATCAGGGTGCTGACCCAATACCCTGTTCACTACTTTGCAGGATTTTGTTGTAGTTAGTGTTATTGGTAAGTAACACAGATTAAGTGGTATGGATTCAATTCACTTGAAAAGATTATGTAAATTAACCTAACAGTTCAGATTAAAACTTGCAGTTACTCTGGCTAGCATACTGTTGTCAAACTGTACACAGCAGTTAATCTTGTAGTTTCGTCCTAGTCCTTAATATCCACCACCTCATATCACGTCATCTTTACTCGCATCTAGGTCAGACATTCTTCTAGAATGTCTTCCATTAATTGCTGCAGCCAGAATGCATCTCCCTTTAAGGAAGAATAGACTGGTAATAAGAAGTACTAGTCTTCCATAAACTTGGGATTCCATTGAGGTTTGTAGTCACTAAACAGTGCATTGTCTGCTGGATTGTATACAAATATCACCTAAATAGCAGGCACCACTTTGTTTGATTGCTCCAGGCACAAATTTTAATTGCACAGTTTCATCACGCAAACCATCACCATACCCATAAATGGAGACTGTTGACTTTGTAGCTTGCAGAATCTAAGCCAGAAGGTGCAAGTCAGAATATTTAATGAAAAAAAAAAACAGATACAGAAAAGGGGAAGATGGTGATGTAGTGGTAATGCCACTGGGTTAATAATTCAGAACCCCAGGCTAAAATTTTGAAGACACAGATTCTAATCCCATCATGGCAGGTGATGAAATCTGAACTCACTAAAAAAACTGTCGAATGGTGTAAAATTCCCATCAAATTCACTAATATCCTTTAAGGAAAGGAAATCCGTCGTCCTTACCTGGTCTGGCTGACATGTGACTTCAGACCCAGAGCAATGTGGTTGATCCTTAACTGCCCTCTGGGCATTAAGGGATGGTATTAATTGCTAGCCTAGCTAGCAATACCCACGTCTCATGAATTGAGAAAAATCAAGAGAGGGTGATAAAGATGCAATTAAGAAAAAGTATTACAAAATGTACCCTATTTTAAAAAAATTCAACAATATTTAAAATCTGAATAAAGAGACTCCATGTAAATGAAAAGTTTCAATGCCATCAAGGTTGTTTGCGAGAAATTAAGACTTACCAAAAAAAAATATGCTTGAATGGACAAGTCCTACTTTTTTTGGTGTGTTTGCTGACTGAGTGCCACAATGTCACAAGTAATTAAATGCTAAGTTTCCCATTGGGATTTTAGGATAGTGAAGCTATTGCTAGATTAAAGGTACTCAGACAGCAACATCCTGATTTCCTTGTTTCAAGTACAGATGTGTGGATAGTGGAATTTACTGTCCAATTTACTCAATAATATTGACTTCATCATTATTTCAGCCTCAAAATCCAGGCCTTAATGGAAAACAGTGAATGGTATATACAAATTAAATCAGTTAGTGTAACATGTATGGTATTAAATACTGTGTTTTGCCATTAAAGAGAACAAAGATGCAACTGTAAACTGTTTGTGAAATCTAAGGCATTTAGTACCTAATGAACACTTGAAAAGAAAACACAAACTCCCATATAATATTGGACAGTTCTCAGATATCATTTTTCAAGAAAACAAACAAATTAGGCTATTACTTTCACGATGCATGTCACATCTGGATAGGCACTGGTCTGTTTAGAACATGGAGAGGGCAAAACCTATGCATGCTGATAATGAGGTGAGCTACAGCAATGCTGTAATATGTGCACATTAAAATCAGTGGGTTCAAATTTCCTTGGTTTGAACAGCTACACCATCATTTGTTAAGGGAGATATGAAACGATCCATCTAAATGCAAACTCTAACAAGCCAGTGAATTCTAGTAACGAACCAGTATCTACCTAATCAAAGGGAATTACTGAGACTGGAAGTGCAAAATATTTAGTGACATTATGACCACCTAAGATGTCACCTCTACCATTTCTGAAGAAGGGTCTAGGCCCGAAATGTCAGCCTTCCTGCTCCTCTGATGCTGCTTGGCCTGTTGTGTTCATCCAGCTCTACACCTTGTTACCTCTACCACCTCTGTTGTTTTTTGATTGAGTTACTGCTTTATAATGCATGAACAACCTTGCATGATTCTCTATGGCTGTAGATAATGCAGCACAAGTATTTGGGCTCGTTAGTTTCTGGCATTACATATTGTTACGCTACTGCAGTAAAAATGCTTTGATTTTTAGTAAAACATTATTTCTCTAAACTAACAAAATATTCCATTTTTTGCTAAAACCTGATAGTCTTGTATTATATAATCCCATAAAAACCTGTCCTTATGTCAAACTGAAATAACACACAGAAAAGAAATACTGACGAGGCTTTGCAGTGGAAATCACTGGAGAACCATTTTGATTTTCATTTCATTAATAAAATAAGCAGGATACAGACTTCCCGAATGGTAATGAAATTATGACGAATTACATTTACAAAGTTCTCTTGAATCAACATTAAACATGTCCAACCTGGGCAGCATAACCAAAAACAGAACAAGTTAATAAAACTGGCCATCTAACTGTACAATTCCCTGTTCAAACAACACTTAGAGTACTGCTTAAGTCACTCGGCTACAAGCAAAAGATATACAGGCTTTGGTGATGTTGCAGAAATGTGGCACAAAGCTGATCCATCGTCACATGTCCACGTTATCAAGAAAACTTACATAACAATGGCTTTTCAGCATTGTAATGAGATGTCTAAGAGATGATCTTATAGAAGTATATGAGAGTTAAAAGTTTGGGAAAGGTAAATCAGGAACACTGAATTAAATTAAAATGTGGCAGGATAAGATGATGTAGGTTCAAATTGCTAAAAGATGGCTTTACAGCTCTTACCAGAAAAAATCCCTTTCAAATAAACAGAGGAGAGGTTGACTAGGTAGGACCTGTACATAACAATATGAGGTGGCCTCATTGAAACATACAAGATTCTTAAGGGTCTTGGCAGGGTAGATGTGGAGAGATTGTTTCCCCTTGTGGAAGAATCTAGAACCAGCTGGCCTTCTCAGAATGAAAGGTCACCCACTTAAGAAACAGATGAGGAATTTCTTCTCTCTGGAGGTAGGGAATCTGTGGAATTGTCTACTGCAGAGAGCTCTAGAGGCTGGGTTATTATGGATATTTAAGGGTGAGATTGCCATTTTTTTAATCAGTAAAGTAGTCAAGGGTTAAGTGGAAAAGAAGAGTAAATGATTGCATGGATTATCAGTTCAGCTATGATCTCTGAATGGTGGTGCAGGCTGAATAGCCTACTTCTGCTTACATTTTATGGTCCTATGGGCTATCAGATAAGTGGTTGAATCATTTAACAAGCACCTAGATTATGCAATGGGAAACTTTAGGGTCAAATGACCTTCACCTTCTGTAACTAACCTGCAGGCATTTCTAAGCTCCTCTGAGTGTCCAGAGAGTAAGTATACTGCCAAACTAGATTGTAGAGCACTGACAAGTTGATCATCAAATCAGGCTCGATACTAGATTTATTTCCTCTCTGTTTGCTACTTGAAAGAAAGTCTTGTTTGAGAAGGAGTTTGCCTGTTCAGAATTTGTAGAAATCACAAACCATATCTCTGCCCTTATAATTTTGTACAAATAGCAAAAGGGAGAAATCACCCCTACCGTTCCTGAATTATTGAGTGGAAAAAAATCAAAGTTCACACAGTTTGTAACT